CCAGCAGACTGTCTGGTGAGGTCGGGGAGGCCAGGGGAGGGCCGTGGTAGGGGAGAGAAGGCAGGGGGCCCGAGAGCTATGCTATGGAATTTGGAACTGACCCCACGGGCAAAGGGAAGGCACTGTGGTTTTTGAGGAGGAATAGCTTGGTCCATGCTGAGCTTTTCAGAGCTGGCTCTGGGGCAGGAGGAGGGTCTCAGTGCCCAGCTCAGAAGCGACACTAGAGTATTGACAAAAGGGAAAAAGAACAAGAGGCCTGCCCTGACGGAGGAAGAACTGCACTTCTCAGCTCAGCTTCCTGGAAAAAAAGCGATCTTTGATCGCTCAGAGATCTAGTTAAATGTCTTTACTGTTGTCTGACCACTCGGTTGGTCCCTATAGAAGCTGCTTAGGAAGGTGCTGGGAACAGTCTATGCTGACACACAAAAATGCCCAAATGCAAACAGAATACACAGAGAGGATAGTTCTAGTGAAATTCTGAGATTTGGGGCAAAACAGTGAAGAAAAAGAAAGCCAGGCTTTTCAGCTTGTAGAAATTCTACCAACTTAGTGAGGAAATGAGTTAGAGGAGAAATACAAGCAGCCTTAAAGTGAGAAGTGCTCTCTGAAAATTCAAGAGCATCGACCTGGTCACGAGCATCCGTCTCACTTCCCTACCCCTAAACATGCTTCAGGAACAGTGTGGGTGCGTTCTTCTCTTTCCTTATCCTCCTGCTGGGCCCTTTCTAGACAGCCTTCTCCACCCTCTCCCTGTACTGCACACCTGCCAGAACACTGGTAATCCCATAATAAGACAGCCGGACTTGACGACGACCTGATTCTACAAGTACAACACTACTTCTGTGGTCTCCAAACTTTTCCTTGTGCATCCCATCAAGAGAAAACAATCCAGGTACAGCCACAGTGTACGTGCACATTATACATCAATTATGTAATGATTACTATCAGCCCATCTATTAAGCACTAGTAAATCTGTTTCATTTTTTAAAAATTGACAAGACATAGGTACACTTTTGACACTTTCATCTTCTACTCAAAGGAATGGTCTTCCCCTTCAGGCCGTGAGAATAGTCACACTTACCGGAAGGAAGATTCTATGGCAACGACCGAGTTAGACTGGACCCGGACTTAGCCACGAGGAAATTTTCCATCACCCTGCTACTTGATGGGTTTTGCCACCATTGGTGGTCCCCACCTTGCTCCGCTGTCTCATTAGGAATTGTAAGATGCTGATTTTCTAAGTTTTCATTCCTTTTGCATTTATTAGCTGTGATTTCCCCATAATTAACAACGTTCCCTCATCAACTATTTGACTATCTTCAAATACAATTTGTCCTAGAAAGGCACGATCAAAGCTGGATTCTTTCCATTTATTTTTCAGAGTAATGAAGTCAGTGTCTTAGCAACTCGCAAAGGTGATCGATTGATTTTCTGGGTTTTTCTTGCTTGGACTATCATTCTGGATTCATGGATTATTTTCCATTGGTTTGATTCAAATCCACTGCAGTCATTATTTTTTCTGATGCTCAAACTACCCCAGCTTTGGCTCCTGTGTCCTTCTGACTCCACCCCAGGGGTCCTTCTTAGCTTCCTTGCTTCCACGTGAAAGATGTCCCATCTTTAACGGTTCCTGCCCTAGACCTGGAATCACCTATTTATCTTAGAAAGAGGATCCTTTAGTGGGAAAGGTACTTAGGAAATCCCAATCTGAGTGTTAAGGATACTCACTGCCACTGGATTGTCTTTACTTTTGATCCTTTTCAAAGTACAGAGTTAGGAAACATTTCCTTTTCAGAGAGAAAATATAAGTTCATAGTAATATTTCCTATTCAAGCTGAGTATTATACAACCTTTACTTAAATTCTTTATACACTCCCCTCTTCCTATATACTGCAAACTGTAGTTCCTACAGTATAACTGTAATAGTTTCAAATAACAATATAAGTATTCCCCACTACAACTGTATGGTCCAAAGACTGTGCTTAAAATCACTTGAAATAATTATTTTATCTGTGTGAGAGATTAGCACCAATCTGATACAGATTTCTTGTTTCATTTTTTGATCTCTTTTCAATCTTTAGTGAATTCTTTTTAAATTATGTAAAACATTTCTATGGTTCCAAAGTCAAAATAAAGTACGTTAAGAGACATCTAGCACAGGGAACTATATTCAATATCCTGTAATAAACCATACGGGAAAGAATATAAAAAAGAATGTATCTGTATGTACAACTGAATCACTTTGCTGTACAGCAGGAATTAACACAACATTGTAAATCAACTATACTTCAATTAAAAAAAAGAGACATTTATTTCCTATCCCTGTCCCTGCAAACCCTCCTCCAGTGGTAATCATTTTTATTAGCTTGTTATTCTTCCATTGTTTCTTTTGAAAACACAAGCACATTCATACATGTACACGCACTTCCCTCCCACCATACCCTTCTTATATAGAAGGGGGTGACTCCACATACCTGCCTGCACTTTGGTTTTTACCACTTAATATATCCTAGACATCTCCCTCCAGAGACTGGAGTCTTCCCTCGGCCCTTTTGCACAGTTACACATGACTTCACTCTATCAACAGACCATATTATTCACTCAGTCCCCTATTAGGAACCTCTGGGTTATTGCCAGTCTTTTCCTAGTACAAATCGTGCCACAATAAATGGCCTTGTACACACTGTACACATACCATGTCTGACCTTTGCTCACTTATCTTTGGGATGGATTCCTAGATATGACCTTGCCAAAGGAAGGATGCCTAGGAAGCTATGCTAGACAGTGACAAATCCCCTTGCACAGGGGCAAGTACCAGCCGGGCTGCATTCCCACTGCTTTCCCTAAGTCTCACCATAGGAAGAGCTGCGTCAGCAAACTTTCAGATTTTTGCCAATCTGATATGCGGGACATGGGATCTTGGTGCAGTTTTAAAATGCATTTCTCTTATCATGAGTGAGGTTAACATGTTTTCATATATTGGGGGCAATACATTTCTTTTTTCTCTGAACTGCTTTTGCCCATTTCCTACTGGATTGTGGAATGTTTTCCTCTCAATTTTTAGAAGCTCTTTATACATTAGTGATATTAATCCTCTGCAACACAATTTGCTATGGTGTTATTTTTCTGTGTTGTTGATTTTGCCATACAGGTTTCGTTTTTTTTTTAGGCAGACAAATGTATCAGTTTTGCCCCCCGCCCCACCCCCACCCCCGATTCCTGCTGAATTCTGAGTCAGTTAAGAAACTATCCCTTTCCCAGGTTAACAAGAATTAATCTATTTTTCCATCTTTAGTTATATTGTAAGCAGTGAATTGATTTCAATTCAATCAGCCAACACTGCTGAAATCCTCCATTCATGGAGAATAAAAATAAGTTCTTTTGGACTCTGAATTCCAACATTCTAAAAGAGAACTTCTTTCTGGAAAAGCCTCCTATTTCTACGCCCCAGATATAGGGAAATACCATCCCACGGAGGGAATAGATATACCATGTCATTTAAGTAGTGTTGGCCATTTTGGACACAGCTAACATTTTATGTATGTGAAGTAACACACAAACCACTTCTTAGGTTATTTTGTGTCACCTCATCGCAGCCCCTCAAAGTACACAGCAGTGTCGATCCAAAGGTAACTCTAGCCATGTCTCACCATGCTGCCAGCCACCTGTCACCCACCATGCCCTATATTAGTTTGTCCCCTGAACTGTGCCCCCGTGACAGGCTACGATAGGATGACAGAGCTCCAGGAGCGGTAATAATAATGTCTACGATGCATACAGAACACTCTCAAACACCGCTCTGAGCTAAAATGAACATTTAAACATGAGTCGATTTTTAAAATCACTTCCCCATCTGCCACAGCCCTTCTTAATTCATCCTTCCTTCTCATACTTCACACCCAAGGATTAGTCCAATGTGTTCGCTGCTGCACTTAGTGAATCCGACAAAAGGTCACCTTCAGGTGGCTGCACGTGAGGGGGAAGGGTCAGTACATGGGGAAAAGGCACGGCAGAGGGCCTTGGGTTTTAAAGAAGGAAACAGGTTCGCAGCTCAGATCCTAATTCCAGGATGGAAATCTCTGGATTAAAATTATTCCGATAATTTAGGAAAATGGAAATCTGCACTCTGAGTGTCCAAATGGACTGTTTAACTCGGGGGACCTTTCATTTCCAGAACAGGAATTCACCTCAACAAGGGGAATCACCAAGGTCTATGGACTTAAACAATAAATTCATTTTTGGCATGAATACTACAGAATCCGGTATTTGGCTTCACAGTCCTCAGCTAATTATAAACGAAATGAAGCTACGGGCAGGTAGACTGATGGCAGCAACAAGAAATGGTGAATGTGGGAAAGGAACACAGAAAATTGCTGAAAGGCTACAGTTGGGGCCAGCAGGTTCATCAACTTTTAGTCTGTCCACTACAACACTTTACAAAATAATCACTGCTCGTGGCAACATGGACACCACGTGAGCAAGAGAGGTTGAGATTTCATCCTAGGCCCAAAGTTTAAGAAGCCAGTAAGGTATGAAACAGTTTTAAATCGTTCCATTTTGAAAAGACTGACTTTTTTTTCTTTACAAAGGTTGATGCTTAAAGAATGAAGATTTAATTACTTGGAAAATGTATGCACATGGAAGACCTCATTCCTCTTGAATCATCAAGTGGACCCTAAACAGTGTCTGTGTCACATGAAGCATGTTTACTCCCTGCCAAAGTCCATCCAAAGTCCTTTCCCAGATGGTTTCCAGTGACACCTCATATTGAATATTTTTCTCCAGAACATTTCTAAGGTTTTTACAAAATGTTCACATAGCCTTTCAATTCCAGTTTAAAAAAAAAATCCAGTTATTCCCAAGAAAAAAGGTTCTACAGCACCCATTTCTACAGCTAAGGGCTCCGGGAATCACAACTGAAAACACATGGTGGCCTCATTTCTTCTCCCATTTGTCTTTGGCAGCATTCTGGAAAGTGGAGGTGAGATACAACTACTCACGGAACATGGTGTAAAACTGCTGCGGGTTCAGATTCCACTTGCCCCAGGGGGTCTTGTGGCCTTTCAGCTGGGCATAGTTGGCATGGTTGAACTCTGGTTCGGTGCCGAATGAGTCCAGGACACGCAGCATGCACCTGAAAGATAAAAGACGCCATGGGTAAAACTACAACCTTGACCCCAGAGTCAAAGAAACAAAAGCTCTACCCCCTCAGGGACCACCAAAGATGGACAAATCCTTTAAACTGAATGCCACTGGGCAGGAATTGAGAGGTTTTATACCAGCATGTCTACCAAACATCCCCACACGTGGCTTCCGAGCCAGAGCCATCACAAAGCTCGTAAAATCTGCTCTAGATGAGTTGCCTAACCACAGAAGATGCTCCAATACCAGCGAAATAAAAAGCTCCCAAAAGCTGGAACTGCAGACCGCCACGGTCACTGCTGTACCCCTAGCCTGGGCTGAGCATACGGTGGTGCCTCAGGGACAACTGTGGAAGAAATACAGAACTACCATTTTTAGAGGTTACTATGTCCCCCCAAATTCATATGCTGAAATCCTAAGGAGGTGGTGTTAGTAAATGGGCCTTTGGGAGGTGATACGGTCATGAGGGTGGAGACCTCATAAATGGGAATAGTGCTTTTATAAAAGAAATTCCCCAGAACTCCCTAGCGCCTTCCACCGTATGAAGATAGCATGAGAAGTCTGCGACCTCACCTGACCATGCTGCCACCCTGATCTCAGACTCTCAGCCTCCCAAAACGTAAGCAATACATATCTGCTATTTATAAGCCACCCAGGCTGTGATGATTTGGTACAGCAGCCTGGGCAGACTGAGACGGAGGGCTTATTCTGCTTAGAGCACATAGCATGTCCTGTCTCCTTCAACAACTAGTCAAGATTTTCATCAACTAACTACAGTACGTGATTTTAGGTAAAGCTTAGAATCTCACTCAATAGGCAGTGGTGATTTTTATGTATTTGATAGTAAGAGGGCGTTATTATTTTCTCCCAGAGCTCAAAAAGAAGTGAAACTGAAAATGTTTTGTTTGGCTATTCCACAAAAGCCTTAGCACAGCATCAATCAAACCTGGTCTATCGCCTGCTTTTGTACGGCCTTCTAGCTAAGAATGTTCTTTACATTTTTAAATGGTTAGAAAAAAAAAGGGAGAATATTTTGTGATGTGAAAATTATACAGAATTCAACTTTCAGTGTTCAAAAATAAAGTTTTATTTGAACTAGCCAAACCTAGTTGTTTCTGTACGTCTATGACTGATTTCACACAGTAGCAGTAGACCTGGTAGCTGCAACAGAGACCACATGGTCAAGCAAAGCCTAAAATATTTACTATCTCGCTCTTTACAGAAAAAGCCTCCTGACCACTGTTTTGGAGTGCATAAAGAATGACCAATCGGAAGAAAGGAATCAATACTAAAACAGAATTTATTGATTTTGGTTACATTTATTTCATCACTGATTCTCAGAACACTGATGTAAATTTAACTCATGACTGGCCAATGAAAAAGCACTATTTTCTGTTGTTATGTATCAGGAATAATTCTGAATGGCTCTTACTGGACCAATAAGCATACAAGCAAATGAAGATAGAGCCCACATTTTAGAATCAGATGACGGCAATGACTTTTAAGCATCTGATTCACTTTCTTTCTTCCTTTCCCCACTAGGAGGAAGTCCATCTTCCAATTATTTTTACATCAATGCATATTGCAGAAAAAAAGAATGCAAACGCCAGATAGGATTTTCCAGGAAGAGCAACAGTAAACTGTCATTTTAGTGTGATGATTTTCACATCAGAGCTCAGCACTATTTGTCTAGACAAGGAAGAAAAGAAAGAGGAGAGGCAAGGTGGAAGGAGCGCGGGCCAGGACCACAAAGTTAAATACAAACCGACCCCAGAAACAGTGTCCTTCTTCTGGATTCCCATGTGGCTCTCAAGGAACATTCGATCCTCACAGTGACTAGATATATATGTATAAATAACTGAATCGCTTTGCTGTACACCTGAAACTAACACAACACTGCAAAACAACTATACTTCAATAAAAAAAAAGAAAGAAAACAGCTGGGATGATGGTGGCAACGCTTGCCAAGGTCACTACAGGAGAGGGGCGGAGGGGATGGAGGGACTCACACTGACAACTGGGGCTGGGGAAGGTTCAGCTCCCTCAAGAGGGACAGAGCTGGGATTCAAAGGTGAGAGCGCCCTGAGCAGGCCCAGCAGGGAGAAACAGGCCACCCTCATCAGAGAAACCTTTGCCTTGAAGGCTCTGGCTACCTCCACTTGTTTGTCATTGACTGACCGTCTCTAGCTTGTGACTCTATATTGAACTTGGAGTTTTAGTGGTGTTATTTTAAATGTGGATAACTAAAACAAACCCTGATGAGTAAAGAGGCCTGGCAGGAGCCTAACTCCTGAAATCTTGGACTTTTATTACATGGGGCCTATATGTATGCTACGTGAGGCTGGCTTCTACTCAACGGAAGGCTACAGAATGAATGATGGGATGCGTGAGATACTTATAACTCTACATGCTTATACTTGAAGCTTTGGTTTGGGAGTTGTCTGGGTTTTTTTTAGCTTATCTGGGTTTGTCTTATAAACCCAAGGCAGGAGACTGATCTCTGTCTAGGACAGAGGAGGTTGAACAATTATAGTCTTCCCTCTTCAATCACTTTTTACACCTGTGTGTTTTGGAATTGGGTGTGTGCCGGTAGTATTGATGCTGTTCCTCTAATGTCTTCTGTGTGTCTGGAGCATCAAGAACAGACTGATGACTTAAAAAGATATTTGCCTCGCGGCCCGAGGCAGCTGGTCTCCTAACAGGGCTGGCTGCAGCAATGCCAGAGGATTCCTGGAACATTCTCTCTGCACTAAGCCACAGTATTACGAGATGGACGCTCACAACCTCCTTGCCAGGACCTACTTCCTAATTTAGAGTTTGATGTAAAACACGGTATATCCTGGACTATTTGCATCTCACTTTCCTGTGTGTTGTCCATGCTCAGCAAAGGCCTCACATGAAGCAAAATGGATATGAGTTTTGCAGTACCTAGCAGAATACTAGTCGCATGTAGGTATTTAATAAATGTTTCATCGAATGTCCTGGGTCCCTATATAAATTGGACAGAATTTATAAATATTTTTCCAAGATCAACAGGAATTATAGATTTGCTCCTAAATAAAAAAACCAACTGATAACTTTCCATTTAATAGAATTCTTATCATCTTCCATCATCCAAGATGAATACAGAGAGCGCCGACAATTTCTAATCTTTAAAAGGGAAAGAAATGGGCAAGAAACTTTCTAGAGGACCTGCTTGGCCTTTGGATGAGATCTTAGCTGCATGAGACCACAAAGACGGCAGCACTGAAGTCCTAACAGACCTCCTGCCAGCTAATATCATGAACACAGATGATTTATTAAAGAAAGGAGGGATAAAACACTCTTCCATAAAATCCCCTCAGAGAAAATATGCCTTTTCATCCAACGAGAACCAAATACCAATCAATGGTGACCATTTAAATACTAAAATCATCCTTTTTAATTGACCTAAACGCTACCGCTGAGAATATATTTCCACCCAAACAGCCCTGCTTAATCATGAGAATATGTAAGTCTAGGGACGCTCAGTTCCTCTTGCACATTTATCAGATGCCTGTCAGTCACAAAACACCAGAGAAAAACAGCTCTTTCTTTTTTGCAATGCTGTAGCTAAAAAGAAAAACAAAGTTTGCTTATTTACAAGGTCTATTAGCAACAAGAAATATGGCTACTCCCATAGAGCGGAGAACATTTATGGCGGCCCATGATTCATGAAGATTTCAAAAAAGCAACAAACCAAAAAACAGGAAAACACCTGATGCAGAAGGTAGAGTGCTATCCTGGACCAAACCCAGATTTTTACCTTGCTTTTTTATGAAACCGCAGGCACACCTCATTTTATTGTGCTTCACATTTTTGCACTTCGCACATACTACACTTTTTACAAATTAAAGGTTTGTGGCAACCCTGTATTATCGGAGGTTGGGTAGCATTTTTTACCAATAAAGTATATAAACTTTTTTTTCCCTTTCCAGTTTTATACTGAAATATAATTGACACACAGCACAGAATATGTTTCAGGTGTACAGCATAATGATTTGATCTATATACAACATGGAATGACTACCACAAGTTTAGTGAACAACCATCATCGTAGAGATACAAAATAAAATTTTTTTTCCTTGTGATAAGAGCTCTTGGATTGTACTTACTTATCTTAGAGCTGCAAGTTTATACCTTTTGACTACCACTCCCCCAACTCCCCCTCCCCCCACTCCCTTCCTCTGGTAACCACAAATCTGATCTCTTTGTCCATGACTTTGTCTTTGTTTTCGAAGTATAATTGACCTATAGCACTATGCCAGTTCCTGGTGTGTAGTATAGTGATTCCATATTTCTGTACATTACAAAACGATCACCATGATAAGTCTAGTTACCATCTGTCACCACACAAAGATATTACAATATTGTTGATTATATTCTCACACTGTGCGTTTCATACCTGTGAAAGGATTTTTAAAATTAAGGTATGTACATTGGGGTACGTGTCCTTTATACAATGGAATATTACTCTGCCATAAAAAGGAACAAAACTGGGTCATTTGTAGAGATGTGGATGGACCTAGAGTCTTTCATACAGAGTGAAGTAAGCCAGAAAGAGAAAAACAAATATCATATATTAACGCATATATGTGGAATCTAGAAAAATGGTACAGATGAACCTATTTGTAGGGCAGGAATAGAGATGTAGACGTAGAGAACGGACCTGTGGACACATGGGGGGAAGGGGAGGGTGGGACGAATTGGGAGATTAGGTTTGACATAAATACACTACCATGTGTAAAACAGATAGCTAGCGGGAACATGCTGCATAGCACAGGGAGCTCAGCTCGGTGCTGTGTGACAACCTAGATGGGTGGGATGGGTGGGGGGGAGGTCCAAGAGGGAGGGGATACAGGTATACATATAGCTGATTCACTTCACTGTACAGCAGAAACTAACACAACATTGTAAAGCAATTATGTTCCAATAAATAAATCAATAAAGGTATGTATTTTTTAATACATAATG